ATTAATTTGGTTATAGAGTTGGTGGAAAAAAGTCCAGCTCGATAAGAATTATAGTAAATTATAACATTAGTTGCTACAATATTGAAAACATTTTGTAATATTTCAAAAACATTAATTTAAAAACCCGAAAAAACAAAAAAATAGAAACTAATAATGAATGGTTGTTTACAATAAAATATAGTTATTCTTGCCAAGCTGGACTTTTTTCCACCAACTCAATATAAAAATAATAAAAATTGTAAAGTGTCATAAAGTGTATTTATTGTTTAACTATTCAAATATAATTTCCAAACTATTTAAGATTGTTAAAAATATAATAATTTAGAACTATATAATTATTATAATTATTTCAATTTGGAAATGTTTTGTATTAGTTTTGTTTATCTTTAAAAAAATAAAAAAATGATTTATATTTTCTATTCAATATAAATCATTGAATTATATTAAAGTGTTTTTAACAAACACTTTAACAATTTCTATTATTTAAAAATATAATAATTGTTTACGTGTTATTATTGTTTTGAAAATAATTTGTCTTCACTTATAAATGGTAAAATTTATTATATTTTATTATACTTAAAAATTCATCAGATTTATTCAGATGTGACTTATTTTTTTATTTTTATTGTTTTTTAAAACATTAACTTGGAACGTGGTCCTATAAAATTGGCCATAAACAACTAAACAAATAAACAGATAATTGAGAACTCGATTATGGTTAACCGTCATCAACATTTTGGTTCGGTTTGCATAGCCAAGCAAATTCATCTTCCACAACCGTTGTTTCATTCTCTTCAGCTTCTGCCTCAGAGTTTTCATTTTTTACTATTCTGATTGTGCTGTTTCATAGGATAAAAATTTGTTGTTTATATAAATCATAAAATCTATCATAAATGTAATAAAAATATGTTTAACCTTACAATGTCGGTAGAGTAATTAAAATAACATTTATTTTTAGACGATTTGAAAAATATGAAAAAAAACTTGAAAATTCAAGTGTGATTCACTGTTAACAAATTCTCGGAAATTGAGACTTTACGATATCAAAAATTGATTTGTATTGTTCTGATATGCAATTCAAACTTGTTTATATTTCAAATAATGCGTCGACATTATTAATTTAATTTAATGATTTTTGTTTTTTTTATTTTTTCGAATTTAGGAAATGTAATAAAAATGACAAGGTTGCCATTCTGAGATTTTTGGTATTTTGTTTTAGTTTTGTTATTCATCCACAATCCTAAGGTTAAACAATTTGTTATAGTCGGGTTTGATTATCAAAGCTATTTTGAGTCTCTCGACTGGCAACTTGTAAATTAATTCGCTTATGGTCAACTCTACAAATATTATCATCACTTTCCGTGTGTTCCAGTCATGCTCATTCTGTTGTTATAAGTCAAACCTCCTTGTAGAGCTCATTCTATCATCACTCAGCAGTTTTTTTCCAGCTAGAACCTTGTTTTTATTCCGGTCTGCAATGCTTTTTGGGGCGCTATGAGGATTTCAGGACAGAGATAGTTGTGTCTAAAATTTATGATATTAAGAAAACTAAAAAAAACATATTAAAAAAAACAACATGTTATTTACTTTATTATTTTAGTTTTTAAAACAAAATAATTGAATGTTACATGATATATATGACATACAACAAGTCAAATCTATGTCTTCGTTTAAATATTACATTGTTGATTGTCTTAGCCATTTCCAGTGTTATTCAAAATTTATTATTTATGCTAAGATTTATTAAATCGTTTTTTCAAATAATATTTCAAATCTATTAAATATATTAAATCATAATAAGATTAACATCATATTAAAAAACAAAAACTTTCATTTAAATAATAAAAATAATTTAAAAACAAAAAAATCAAAAAATATAAAAATATTAAAAAAATCTGATAAAAGAGTCATGACTTTTTTTCAAATTTATCTGTTTGTTTTAATCGGTATTTGCGCTGGGAGTATTCCGCTTAACATTCTCGAAGGAGATTGGACTGTGAGTGGGATGTCAGTGTTAAAAGAAACTGGTACATTAATTCATCGTTATGACACGACGCACACCACCGCAAAGACGACGGAGAGCCACATGACAATGTACAACAAAGAGAAAAACGCGACGTTCTCTTTGTACTCAATTAACTCAACCTCATTTTTATTCGAAGCACAAACAAAGCAAGAGGATTCCCTGCTCTTTAATTACCCATTTATTTTCTCTGTATTCCCGTATAGTAATCTTTTCTTCTCTTCGTTTCAAGGGTGGAACAATACATGGATAGACTTGGTGTTAACAAATCATGCAACGACACTGACGATATCCGCTTACACTAACAACTCGATCACACTCATCGTCGCAGTAAAGGAAATTAAGGACGAAAGATCTTTTTTAAAAAGAAATTACCTCCTTTTTTTGGTCGGGATGTACCTCCTTTTGTTTATCCTTCCAAATTACCTTTTAACTTCGCTCAAGAAATGATCTTTCTTTCTGCACATCTCAATCTCTCTTCTCATTTTACAACTCTGTGTTGTACTTTATTTATTAATTGAATTTATTTTATGTATTATTAGTTTACTATTAAAATAAAAGTAATTAAAGGAAAGAGATTGAAAAAGTGATTAACCATACACATATTACTTCAAATTTAATTTTTTTAGTACTGTATATTTAAAAGACAACCACCACGATATTTTAAATAACAAAAAGACTTGAAATAAAAAATGAGGTTTCATCTTTGTAAATTTTAAGTTCTTATTATTGTTTTATAATAATTACAAAATGAACCAGATTTTTGTCCTTTAAAATACAAATTAATTATTACTATATATTTTATATAAATATATTACACATATAGTAAATTATAATCCACTTTTATTTTAACTTTATTTCATTGCAAAAACAAATTTTGTCTTTTGAAGTATTTTTTCTTTTAACTTCCCGAAAAATTGTTTTCTCATTCCGCCCGCTTTTGGCGGAATGGGTGAATGTAAAAGGCTCATCTGATCTTCAAAATTTAGAAAATTATGTCGTCCTCGAATGACCTCCGGACGAAAATTCTCACCCAAATCACAACGAATGACGTAGCGGGGATTCTCCATGAAGTCCTTCAGATATCCGAGACGGATTCCAAGGTGAGCAAAGCAAAGGTGATGAAAAACATTTTAGAGGTGTTGGACATCATCGCTTCGCAAGCGAACACCTCTGCGCTCCTTGTAGCTGTCTGCGAACAAGCAACTGAATGGGCAAAGAAGAACAACAGAGCGTATCTGTTACAAAGACTCAACCAAAGACTCGCGCAGTACTACTACGAAAATGACCAATGCGCAAAATCACTTTCGTTGATTGTCGACTTGTTAAAGAACGCAAAGAGAACCGACGACAAACTCCTTTCAGTCGAGCTCCAACTGCTCGAAGCAAAAGTACACCGAAAGGTCAGAAACTTGACAAAATCACGTGGTGCGATGACTGGAGCAAGAGTCGACGCAAACGCAATTTACATTTCACCACTGTTACAGGGAGAACTGGACATTTGCAGCGGATATATCAATGGAGAGGAACACGACTACATTACGGCAGCGTCGTATTTCTACGAAGCGTTTGAGAATTACCACTCTTTGAATATCAGAGCGAAGGCAGTTGATGCGTTGAAGTATTTGTTGCTTATGAAACTCATGCAAAAAAAACCTGGAGAGATCGACGTTGTGTTGGGGACAAAGAACGCGGTGGGGTATTCGGATGACAACAGTATCATTGCAATCAAAGAAGTGTCAAAGGCATTCACCGCTAGAAGCATCGACACATACGACGGGTTGACTCAAAAATTCAATAACGAGTTGTTTGGAGACGACTTTGTGAAGGAAAATCTTAAGGTGTTATACGACGCACTTGTCGAGGAAAATATTGCGAGAGTGCTCGAGCCATACTCTTCCGTCGAACTGTCACACGTCGCAGAGTTGGTTGGAATGGAGGTCCACGCCGTCGAAAAAGTGATCTCTATTATGATTCTTGAGGAAAAGGTCAATGGCATCATCGACCAGAACAATGGTATTCTCTTGTTGTTTGAAGATGTCACCTCGAATAAAATCTTGTCCTCTGGAATTGAACTCATCGGACTCCTCGACAAAACTATCGACTCACTCAACGACAAGGCACTTAAGGTGTTGCAAGAATCTACAGTGTCTTCACAAATCTAAGAAATTTTTCTCTTTGTTTTGTTGTGATTTTAGTATACATTTTTTTATAAGAGTCTTATTTTGTAAATTATTTGGTAGAATTTGTTTTTTTATATTTTATTTACTAGAAAGTATTAATTATTTATTATAATTTTTAGTAACTACAGATATTAAAATATAAACTACATTTTATTATATATTATAATTATTATTATTATTGAACATTTATTTAAGTTATTTAACTATTAAATATAGTATAATATTTTTTTATTTTTATCTGTTTGTAATTTTATCAAGTTGAGTTATAATAAATAACTAGTAATATAATATTAATGAATAAACTATAAAGTAAAAACTCAAACTTTTATTTACTATAATAAATTAGTTAAAGATAATAAAAAAAGTTATAGTAAAGAAACCCTGAAAGTTTTGTGGGGACTTGAACTAAGAAAAGTACTTCGTTGTTGAAATGGGAAAGGTTCACGGAGGTTTGACACGTGCAGGTAAAGTTAGAAACGCAACAAAGAAACCAGGAAAGACTGACACTGGAAAGAAGAAGTTCCCAAGCGGAAGAGCCTACATCAGATACCTCTATAACAAGAGACTCGACATGTTGACAACTGGAAACAAGAAGTACAAGTTCAACCCACAAGCTTAAACGAAGGTAATTGAATTGTGAAAAATTTTAGGTTTACCTTATTTGGACATAACCGAGTCTAGAAGCGTAAACTAAGTTCTTTAAAACAATCATAAATTAGGTCTGAGATACATGTACATATATTACACAACTTTGTCTTTTGTGAAGTAAACTGCAATTGGGATGGTTATTGCACATACAATTAGTACAACAATCACTACCAAGATGATGGAAAGAACAACTATTTTCTATTTGTAATTCAGAAAGAAAGAATAACTATTTTCTTCATTCAAACTGAAAAATAACAAACGGCTACAAGCTTCTTTTTGAGGTGGTACGTCCGCTCGAGTTCCTGATTTATTGTGGCAGAGTATTCCTTTGTCTGGTCGCAATTTTGTTCGATTGAGTCGATCAACTCGCCTTGCATGCCCAGAAGAACTGAAATGCTGACGAACATCTCGGAAACCCCATTGATAGCGTTGTTTATTTCAACGAGTTCTTGGTGGCGTTTTGTCAAGTAGTCTACCGTTGGTTGATTTGTTGTCTTTCTCAACCTTTCTACAACGCCGTCATCCACTTTTTCTGTGTCAATAACCTTTTCAATCGCTTCGTCTTCAAACTCTGGGTGGACTGTTGGTTATTTTGTTTGTTTTCTGTTTGTTTCTTTATTAACCCAAACAAACATATTTTGATCTTGTGACATACTTTCTGTTTAATTGAGACTTTGATCTCAAGTTGTATGTCTTGGCAGCTTCTCATCAACTTGACAAACTGTGACGAGAGTGACTTTGTGTGGTTAGTCCGAATTCTCAGAATTGTATCACTCAACTGGATTTCTCCTCTTTCGTTTTGTGTTTTCAGTGTGTCGTTTTGCTCCCTCAGTTTTTTGAGACGGTTTTCAAACGCAATGGCGTCCTGTGATATTTTGGTTATTAGCATTTGAACTGAATCATTGGAACTTGACTCCTCATCACCTTCTTTTCCAAGTGCTATAAATTTGTTTTTTTCAGATAAAACTTTCACTTGGAGTTTCAGCTTATACAGTTTGACACGAAGTTCGTGCACTACGTCAAGAAAAGACGTGAGTTCAACTGGTAACTCGTTTGGCATCTACTTCACGACAATTGTTTCATTATTTTCAGCCCCAAATATATATTTGTTCCACCATCTCAATCACGTCTTATCATTCTCTCATTTTTTTCGTTTTTCAGTTTTTTTCAATATAATGTGTTTTTATAGTTTTTATTATAATTTTAATTAATACCTTTTTACTACTTTTTTAATTTAAAATTTTTAAATTATGTGTACTAGTATTTATTATTGTTGATTATAGTTCATTTATATTATATTAATTGAAACTATATATAAACTAAAATTGAATTAAAAAATATTACCCATATCAAATTTATTAATACAAAAATAAAAAATTTGTAATGTCAGTCTAAAAATGTTGTCCTTACATTTTTAAAACATCAAAACTGAAATATTTTGGGAAACTGTTCAAAACACTCCAAAAACATTGTTTCATATTTTTTCCTGGGTTCCAACATTTTTTTTAATTCCTATTGTTTTGAACTTATTTTATGTAAATTTTTGTCAAATGGAGAATTTTTGATAAACTTTAGTACAATTAATTAATTATCTTTTAGTAAAATTTCAAATTTACAATATCTATAATTTTATAGTTTATTGTTTATATTTATATTACATAATTGAATCAACAGTGTTGTAGTTTTTGAACCGTGTTAATTCAAAAATAGTTTTTTATAATTTTTACAATAATCAACACTGATTTTTTTGTAAACTATTTTTACTTTTTGACTTTTGAAATCACAATAGAGTCAGTTGATAAATGTTGTACCAAAGCGTCTAAAAAAATGATTTTTTCCCAAAAAACATTTTATTATTTATCTTACTGTTTAAAATATCTATAAAAACGGGATCATTAAACCAAACACTTAGTTTGGAACTTATCTTGTTTTTTTGATCATTTTGGTTGAACACCGTTGTACTCTTTATGAATATCAGACTTGTTATTTGGAATTTTTGGGGAATTAGGATAAAAGAAAAATATCAACTAAAAATAAAAACGCATTTTTGGGAAATAAAAAAAATTCCTTCAAAATAGGATGAAAATAATAGAAAAAAAAGTGGTGTTCACAGTCGTCTGTGTTCAACATTTATATAATAACTCTAATAATAATTTATCATTAATTTAAAGTAACAATTCTTTTAATTATTTCGATACAAAATTCTTAATTTTCTTATTACAACAATATGAAAACATAATTCAAATTTATATTAAATTGAATAAATTAATTAAAAAATCCCATATTGAAGACACAACAAAACGAGACAAATTATCAAATACCAATGAAGTTCACTTCATTCTTACCAAAATAATAATATTTTAATATATAAATATTTTTAAAAGTACTATACTGATCAACGACAGTAAACTATTTGTTTTAGTATGGCCACGCTCTTTCACTTCATTGAGTTTCTCGTTGTTTCCCTGTTTTCGACGATGTTCTTCTTTCTTGTGTCTTCCCCGTATTACACAACCCTTCGTTATACATACAACGACTTAGTCAATGGTACACATAAAACGCAATATCGCAACAAACACATCGATGTGAACACCTTTAATTATTCTGGTGTCTGTGGTAAAGTCTTTACAAGTCCGCCAAATGGTCCCGACGACTATATCATTTCGTCTTACGATATGATGATGCAGTGTGTTAAAAAGCAGATGTGGGAGACATTAAGCATGGCTCGCACTGCAATGCCACGAGCACAGATGGTACTTCTCTTGTTTCACTTTCCACCCATCTGGTGTATAGGTGACATGGAGAGATTCAAGCAACTCAATATAACGACTATTAAAGTCCAGAGACGAATTCTTGAGCAATCTGTTGCTATTCGATATGTCATCTTCCACAAGTACATTACAGAGAACGTCAATAAAATCAATCGAATCATTCTCATGGACCCCCGTGATGTCGTTTTCTTCGAAGATTTCTTTAGAACGTTTTCTACTGATGACGTGGGGTGGTTAGCAGAGTGCACCGGTTCGATTAATAAAAACGAGTGTTATAGTCCAGCAACCTACCGACCACACGCTGAGTGGTTGAATGATTACTTTTCTAAAGAAATTAGAGACGACTTTGTGAAGAGGAGATTGCCATCTATTAATGGAGGATTTGGGTATGGCGGCGCACACAAAATTAAACAAGTTCTTGACATTTATATAGAGAATATGAACCCTAAATATATGGTCTGGGGGTATGACCAAGCACTTCTAAATGTGTTGTATTATCATGGAAAGTTTAATTCAACTGGATTGAAGTTAGTAAAGTGCGAACAGAAATTGTGTTATATAGGGAGAAGTTCATTCAAACTCATCGAGAAAAAGGTGGTGTATGTCGACAAAGATAACTTGGGGTGCTCTCCAGTCGCATCACACAAATTCGAACTTTATTATGACGAGCGTTGGAGAATAAAATAATCAATACTTTATATTGTTATAAGTAACTTATATGCTTTATTCATTTGTATAAACTGAAAAAAGAAATTCTAAAGTGTTTTTTTTAAATTTGGTCAATTTATTGGGAAAAGTATTCTAAATAATTTATACCTAAAATTATACATTTTTGGTTTTTTTGACTTTTTAATTGATAGTGGAAATAAATTAGAATTATTAACATAAATAATTTTGCCTATGGGAATAAAAAAATACTAGTTTTCAAAATTTATTTGAAAAAAACACTTTTTGTGGTAATTGAATTGAAAAAATACCATTATTGTTATGAAAAAATAAATTCTTTGATAATTGAGCAAAAAATCGGGATTTGAAAAACATTGATTAAAACATAAAAGACTTTCTATTTTTTCAAAATATGTGTTGTTTAACACTTAAAAAAAATTCGTTTTTTTCTTTAAAAAATGTTTTTGCTTTAAAAATGTTTTTAAAAAATTACTTTAAAAATATAATTTCACCAATTCAAAAAAAGAGGGAAAATGTGTATTGTAATACACACGAAAAAACCCGATAAACAAACAAATATTTAAGTAACATAATTGTATTTTGCTTTCCGATTTTAAGTCTCATTTCTAAGCAATTCACAATTGGAGTTAAAATATCAAAAAAACATCGCTATCGTCAAAAAGTATCACATATAAACAATGTCTCATTATAAACAAACCGGAGAATAGTCGCTTAGAAATCGACGTTAACTCGTCGTTGTTTTCTTCAATTTCTAACACATGGACATCATCGGTTATTTTTTTTCTTATCTAAAGTCGTATAAAAGTAATGCAAACTTTGTCATGATAACGTAAAAGATATCTCTCACAAAGAACGCTATTTTTTGCGAAACAACATACAAAAGTACAACAAGGAGTTAAGCAATATTTGTGTTTGGTTCATCCTTTTTTCTCTTCGAATTTTTGAATCGACTTTTGTGTTATTTGTGTGATGAATGTGTCTTTTATTTCACCGCGACCTCATAAATACATCGCAACACCGTTTTTTTTTAAATCATCGTTCTGCGAGTCCACTAAAGGCAAAAATACTTCCGAGCAAAACGACAACGCACTTTCTCATTGACCATCAATTTTTTTTTTTAATCAGTTTATTTTTTAATAGTTTGATTTTTAGTTTAAAAACTAATAGATACTTTTTAATTATTAAACAAATGAAAAATTTCAACAAAGTATGTGTTATAAATACTCAACAGCACCATTACATGCAATCCACATATGGGTGGAAAACTAATTTGTAACTCAAGTTTACATTTTCTAAAATTTAATATTTTTCATTGACTGTTCTTACTACAAATTGCAATGTAATTGACTGATTTTGTTAAAACAAGATAAGTTCAATAAGTGGTGTTAACAAGTCCGTTTGATGATTTTGGAAAATAAAACAGAATAATAAAGGTTTAACAATACATTGTGAATCAACGACAAACCATTTTAACACGTAAAAGCTTTGTTTATTTCTTGTATTTCTCTGCACTTGGTAAATAATTGATTATTTTGATGATTTATTTATATAGTTTGTTTTACTATATTTATAATATTAAAAAATAAGTGGTCAATTCCCGAAATATTAAAAGAGTATTTATATACACTTTTAACAGGTAGTGTGTTTTTAAGTGTTAAAGGCTAAACAAAATACAAAAACCTCTAATATCACCTGTTTTTGAACTTATTTTCGTTTTTTGGTCACGAGTAAATTGCTTAAAAACCAATATAAGTGCTTACACATAATAAAGTACACCTAATCTATACAAAGTTATTTAAACAAACAATAACAATAAATAAAAAAATATAATTTAAGATATTACAATTGAAAACAACTAAAATATATAGTTTATTTTAATAACAGACACAACATTTTTTACTTCAATATTAAAATTTAAAATAATCTTATTCTCTTTGTTAAATAACTAAACACGCGCTGCTAATATTGATAAGAACATTTAGCTGTCATCTTATTTTGCAACTTATATTGACCACTGATAAATATTACTGTTAAACATCAAACTTTTTTTATTAAGATTAATAGTAATTATTATAACAAAACAATAAATGTAAAAATAATTATTTTAATTATTAAATTATTAAAATAACAATTACAACACTTAAAACACAAAGTTTTGCATTTGCTTTAACAATCACAGAAACAACAAATGAATGCTTGGTTTGTTTAATTTATATTTAGACAAATCATACAATAAAGGTATGATATCTCAAACACGACAATACAATTAAAAATATATTTAATATAATAATATTCACTTTTTATTCAGTTTAATCATATGAACAATAAAAGAAATAATTTTTCATTGTGCAAGACATACAATGAAATCTATAAGTGCTAAAATATTTTCTTATTTGACTTTCATTAAAGCCAAATGCATCACGGCCCTAATTATTATGATATGCAATGTTTAAGAAATACGTTGCATATTAAAGAAGAAGAATACTTATTGTGACAAGTCGCAGTCTCTTAAAACGTTTATATTAATATTAAAATTAATAAAATATTCTTTCTATTTATAAGTGTTTAAATATACACTAATTTAATCAGTTGATGACAGAGTTATTGAACTTAAGGTGGAGGAAATTAATAACAACTATATAACGCCAATTGTGTGAACTAAAATGAATGTGCAGTAGACCAACTGCTGTTCAACTATTATTATTGTGAATATGAAACAGCTGTTTGTCTGGCTGTTTATTACGTTTTTAAAGTTTGTTTCTTTAATAAATTCGAACAATTTAGGAAAAACAGTTTTCAAACGAAGTCCTTTATGGGTGTTCTGACAAGTGTTATGATGGTTATTTTAATGATGAATCAACCACTACTTTACGATAATTCAAGAAGTCTCAAGCAGTATGCTATAATTACAATGATGGGACTAAATGCATCTTTTATACAACAAACAAATATTTGTTTGAAAATATTGGAAATGTGTAGCCACTGAACGTCATTTTAATTACTACAAAGAGCAAACAACAAGATGTAAGAAGTGCAAAACTGGATACAATTGTTTGATGTGTAAGACGGAATCAAAGTGTTTGTCGTGACAAATTCAATTTGGCTAATGAAGGAACATATTTTGCATGAAATACAATTGTTGTCTGAGAAAAATTCAAATCATCAACACTGAATGTATCACGTGAACAACTGATAATTTTTAAGCAGACAAAACTTGCAAACCAAATTGCTCAAAAGCGTATTATGCAAATAAAAAAGGTGTGTACCACTTGTGTTGAAAATAACAAAACATGTAGGGAAAAAACCAAGTGAACTGTTTGCAAAAACAATGCTTTGATTATTGAAGCCATCAAAAAGTGTGTAAAAGTCAACTGTTTAGAAATTTATAAACTGGTGCTGAGAAAATGTGCAAGAGATGCAAAGTGTTTACAAATTCGACTGATTGTCAAGTTTGTTGCACCAAAAATGTAAGAAGAAGAAGAAACAAAAATGAAGTGTGTTAAAATATGAAATTGAATTCTTCAAATTTAACAAAAGAAAATGCAATAAGAATAAAAAAAAATTTCCATTTCAGAAAACATTTCCAATACTTTATACAAACAAGGCGACACTGGATGTGAAATTTGTATGAACAAAAACGGTCATTGTGAATATTAAATATAGCTTTGGTATTTGTCTTGATGATAACGTTTTAAGTTACTTATTGGTTGGTTTTATGTTTAGATAAATTTTTAACACAAGAAATATATTAATTATATAAAGTGACTTCCCCAGGGTGTGCAAGTTAAAATTATTAGTCTTTTTTACAGGAAAAGGGCGTGCAAGACTAAATTTTAGTTGAAAAACATTTTATTGAAAATGTTATTCGTTTACAAATTGTTTCACAAAACACACAACCCTTTGGTGCTTGAATTAATAAACTACAAAAAGCAAATTAAATTATAAAAATTGGGTAGTGGTTTGTCTATGTGTTTAATGTAAAAACAATTTTGTTTCAAGAACGTGAATAAATGTCGATGTCTCTTGTGTCAGCGTAATTCAAAGCGACAAGAAAAGGTGTAATAAACATTATGTTTTTCTCTGTGCCATTTTATAGCAAACAATAACAAATAGTCTGTTTAATAGGTGCAGTTCATTGCCTCAAATCGATGTGTACTGTTGTCCAGAACTGGTCCTTCGATTATTTCCATTGGGTCGCTTTCCCGAAATTGTTGCTTAATTTATTGTATTCGAAGTGTGAAAATTAAAAATTGCAACGTCACAAGGTGTGCAAGTTAAAGTATAATTTAGTAATAACTTCGAAATTATAATTAATAATTAAACTAAAAATAATCTTTTTTTTTCAAAATTTCAAAAAACAATTGATTCTATTTTTTTAATAAAAAAATTATAAATGAACTATACCTTAACTTGCACACCTTTAAACTAACTTGCACACCTTGGGAAGTCACTTTATATATATTTTCATTGTTTTAATGAGCTGTATAAATATAATTTGTTATTAAAAAATTCTTTTAGTTTAATTTACTAGTATCTAATTAATACTTTATTAAAGTTTTATTTATTATTTATTATAATATTTTTGTTAATTAATTATAACTTTTTAATTCATAATAAAATTTGTAGTAAATTAAATTATTCAATATTCTTATAAATAAAAATCAAACCCATAATTATTAAAAATGGCAACAAGTATAAAGATAAAGAAATAATAAACAAGAATTAGACCGTACGACTAGGATCATTCTTAGAGTATGTCACTTTCTATGTAACAAATAGAATTCACAAAATAGGATGAAGACTTTCATCACTTCAATGCCAAAGGGAGATATGCAGTAATGCACGATGAACTACTTGTTGAGGGGTCGAGTGCGTGCACAACACTCTGAGATGAGAGGCACAGAAGTCTGTCTGACTATTTTTTGTAAATTTTAATAATTGTTTAAATTATATTTAATAATATTTTTTATATATTAAAATTAATAAATAAAACAACAATAAAAATACAATTAAATCAAATGACAATCAGATGAGAGCAAATTGAGAATGTATTTCAAAATGTGTTAGATTTTTTTCTTTTGGTTTTTTGTTCTTGAGATTTTGATAAGCCCACCGTTTTATTTTCTTTTTGTCTTGCTTGTTCAGTGAGATGTATGTGACTGTTTTGACTGCCTTCTTTTGTAAAAAAGTATTGTGTTTTGTTGCAACATTGGAACATATCAATTTAATTAAATGAATATTTTTAATAATAATTAATTTCATTAAAACAAATAAATTTTATTTATTTACATTTTACATCGATGAATGTAAATGTAAAACTAAAACACAAAGCCTAGATTTACTTTTGCAAGTTAATCGCCACACAGTCTGTTGGTGAGTTTCTTTTTGACTGTCAAACTATACTATTATAGCACCATAAACTAAAACAATAATATACTTTTATTACTAATATATAAAATAAATAAACTATATTAATACTAAAACTATATAGTTTATAATATAAACTATATTAATACTATAAATATAAGACTAAAAATGAAAATGGTGGAATGAAAGAATTGAAGAGGCAAACATTTTTGGTAAATTCTTGAGTTGATGAGAGTGCTAATCCTCAACTCAATTTGGCCAAGAAGAGTGTTGAGCCTATCGATTCTCTTTTGCACTTTGGCGATCCTTTCGAGGTCGTCCGTGTAAGTTGGAGGGGACAACACCTTCTCCATCTCCTTGAGTTTGTCGTACAACACCTTAAGTTGTGCGTCGAGCTGCCCTTGTATTTGAATTAAGTCGACAACTTCGCTCTCGGTTGTCTTCAATTGCGGGACAAATGTTTCCGTGAAGTTCTTATTGAAGTAGTCGATGACTCTTTTATCGGCTTGGTCCTCGACTTCTGTTATCTCCTTTTTCTCGCTTTCCTCTTGCTTGTTTTCGCTTTGTTCTACTTTTTCATTTTTCTCTTTAATTTGTTTTGTTTCAATTTCAATTGTCGGAACATTTTGTTCCTCTTCCTTCATGTCGATATTGATGCGCGGCGATTTAATTGGCTTGAATTCCTTCTTCAACTCGTCGACCTCTTCGGCCTCGCCTTGCTTTGGGACTTCCACCGCTTCAACTTCTTCGTTCTGATCTTGAAAATCGATCGAATGTTCCGTCCGTGGCGATTTTTGAGTTTCCTGCGGAATTTCGAGGACAACTGGAGCGGGTATTGATGTTGGTATTGTGTTGTTTGACGCAAAGGGGTCATCAAACGTGTTAATAGTTGGGTGTGTTGGAGGTGGGATGTTAAATGGGTCGTTCGGTTGTTTCGCAAACGGGTCGAACTTATCGGAAGAATTAACACCAAACGGGTCGACGTTCTCGTCACCGGCATAAATAAAGCTTGAGAATCCCGCCATTTTGCTTTTCGAGTTTCTCTTCTTTTCCCCACACAAATATTCTCTTTGTAATTATAATAAAATTATAATAATATTGTAATAAAATAAACTAAAAATTTACCAATAAAAAAGTGAGATGAGAAGATTATAAAAAGCAGAACGAAAGGGTATTTAGGCGAGGAAAATTTCATAAAAACGTAATAACAACTTGAATCGACACAAGTAGAGCTCATCAATTACTTAGCGATTTTCTTAGCAAGAGCAGCCTTATAAGCAGCGAGTTGATCTCTGGCGTTCTTCAATTTCAATGAGGCGGTGTATTTGGCTCTATCGGCGTTAGCCATAGCTTTGACAGCGATCAATCTTGAAGCAAGTCTGAGTGGCTTCTTTTCCTTGATGGCCTCGACTTTGTTCTTGGAGCTGAAGATGTCGAAAGAAAGGGTTGGGTATGCCTTTTTGAATACCTCTTCGACTTGTTCATTCTTCTTAGCAACTGATTCCTTGTAAGCCTTAGCAGCGTCTCCTCTCTTCTTAAGGAGGGCTTCTCTGTCTTTGTTCAAGAATGGCTTAGTGATTTCGACATTAGCGACGTGAACTGGGACTTGGACGGTTTGGCCGTTGTTCTTGGTTTTTGTGAGTTTGTCAATGTAGATGACATATTGGCTTCTTCTGACTCCTGTGACCTTTCCGGCAATCTTTTGGTGTCCTCTAATAATTTTGACCTCGTCGTCCTTGTGAATTGGAAGTGCTTTAACTGAATACTTCTCTCTCAATTCTTTGCTCAAGCGAGCTGACATAAGAATGCGGCGTTGGTTCTTGTTTGCGTTGTAGAACGCCTTGCGCGCCTTGCGTGGTTGTGAGCTGACACGTGGGTTGAACTTCATTCTCCAGTCAAAAGCATTTTAAGTTTTCATTAATCAACACTTAGGGTTTCCCCTCTTTTTTTCTTCCCCACCATTTCGGGATTTCCCGCAATTTTGCACAGGGGTTTCTTGACGGGTTTGAAGATTATTATTTTAACTCTTTTTTAGTTATTTTTATTACATGTATAGTTTAGATATACTTCTTATATTGAAATCATAAAAAAACTATATAAAGTAGATACTATATTAAACCTATAAAATAACTATACTAAATTTGAGACTTAGAGTCTAAGGCAACTCAAACTGATCCATCGATTCAAATGTTCTTGATTCTTCCAATCCATTAGCTCGAGTGATTGTAGCCATTACGACAACGAACAGAACACCAACAAGATTCATCATGATCAATTGGAGTGCCGGTTCCATCGCATAAATGACACAACAGGAAGGTACCCATATGATATATCCCCCAATGAGTCCGACAAGCCAATCGTGTTGGAAATACTTTTTAATGATTTGTGTTGAGCACTTTGGTAAAGTCACGCCGGTGTTATATATAAAGTTGGCCCAGTAGTTAAAATGTGACATATAGAGCGGCGTCCATATTAATTGGTCTATTAACATCTTCTCAACTACAGAAAGCACACCTTCGTCTCCAAACCACGCGCTTTGCAATCCATAGAAGATATCTGTTTGGAGTCCCTTGGCGTTATTCAATGTTTACAATTTATAATATAATAATAATATAATAATTAGAATCAATCTATATTCAATACTAATATGTACTATTCTATATTACTATATTATATTACTCTACTACTTTTAATAAATATATTATTAATATACTAAATTAAAAATAAAAAAAAGTAAAACTATTATAATTTATATAAAAACTATGCTAAATTTTATAATAAAAATATTATAATAAATTATACTATTCTTAGTATTTTCTATCAATGAATGACAAGCAAAGACAAACAACAAAGGCATAACACAAAAACATGAAAATGCCCGTCCTAACGCGCAGAGCTGGTCTGATGTGGCCTTGGAAAATATCTACTAACCATGGGACAACACCCATAAAAAGACCTGTTGAAATCATGGAGTAAATAATTGACATTTTCATCTTCAAAGAAGCCATCGCGTTCATCGCAATGTTTACTATTGGAACGTAATTGTAACATAATACTAATACTAATTCTAAAACTATTATAATAACTCCAACTTTCCCATTTTGTGAGAAAACACGAAGAACATCGTTTTTGACACTTTGAAGGCTCATCTGTTAATAAGTTCCTTTTGACTTATCACTTTGGTACTTGCAATAATGACTTTTTTATTATTATTATATAGGTATGACTGATGTTGTTTCTTTTGTGTTTCACTTTTTCTGTGCGGTTTGAGGTTTTTTATATCGGTTAGTTCTTAAGTGTTAAAATATATTATTTTCAATGTATGACGCCGATATAATGTATAATTTATTTTATTATAAAATCATTATAGTGGTATATAGGTATAAAATTGATTATTAGAAGTTAAAATATCCAGATATGATACATTATTATAATTATAGTATAATATTAAATTGAAATAGTATAAAACACCAAAGAATCAAACATCAAGACTGACTTTTAAGTCTTGATGATTACCATAATAATATATCGGCAATAAAATACAAATTTAAAGTTATAATTACCCAATATTGAACTGTATTATATAAATAGTATAAATTAACTACTAAATAGTAACAAATTAGAACAAGGGAAACTTTTGAGTCAAAAGAATTTGGAAATCTCTCAAACTTGAAAGAACCCTACAAATTGTCATGTCTGATGAGTTTCTGTCAACACTTCGACTTTCCTCTTCAACGCCTTTAGAAGACGCCGACAAAGGTGGCCGAGTGATATGCCCGATTTGTAAAAAGTCGATGAAGTACTTCTGTTACAACTGTCGGAAGTCCCTTCTACCAAATGCCCCGCAAATGACTCTTCCGATAAAACTTGATATTGTCCACCACCCAACAGAAAAAACATCGAAATCAACGGCTTTAACGGCATGTGTGTTAGCGCCACAAGACGCCACGTGGGTAGAGTTTCCGGATGAGATTCCGGAGTATGACTCGAATGAAACGCTCTTATTATTTCCATCGGAAGACGCGAAGAAGTTAAGTGAGATTCCCGACTTGAAGAAATATAAGCGAGTTGTCTGTATCGAGAGTGTCTGGGACAAAGCAAATGCCGTGAAGTGTCACAAAAATCTTGTGAATCTTCCTAAAGCAGTTATCTGTGCGGAGAGCACCTTGTTTTGGCGATACCAACACCTTTCCGACGCTAATTTATCGACAATCGAAGCAATCTATTATTTCTATAGAGATTACTATTTAGCTACTATTGGAAACTATACAGGACAATGCGATGATTTATTATACTATTTCGTTCATATCTATAAGAAGGTCCAAGGGTTCTATAACCAACACCCAGAGAAGTCTTTTGCCCACAAAGATGGGTACATTAAATACACCGACAAGATTGTCGAAAACGAAAAGAAAGAGGAGGAGAAGCGAAAACGCGAAGAGAAAGTCTTCCAGATCGAGAAGAAAAAAGACAAGAAAATGATCCCCAAAAATAACTAAATTGACTAGTAAGTATCCTATAAAGTATTCTATTCGGTTTATCACCAGCTGATATCAGTCGTTTAATAAAATATAGTATAATTTACTATAAATTATTATAAATTACTATAATTAATAACACAATAAAAACCGATATCAATGGCACTTGAAAATCGTGTTTCCACGTTTTGAAGTGTCAACGCCATTATATAAAGTACCAAGTATAGTAACTGAATAGTAAAAAGGAATGGGAGACCGTTGGAAGCCATCGCCGTATGTTCAATATGGATATACTGAAGAGCGATACAAATGGACTCAAACCCCTGATGATGTAACTCTGACAATTACACTTCCCGATGCCAACTTGAATACTAAGACTGACTTGAAAGTGACTATTAAGTCGTTCACATTTGAACTGAAAATCAAAGATGAAGTCTATATTGGCGGGGAGTTGGAACACGGCATCAACGTCGATGAATCAACGTGGACCCGTGACGGGAAAACCATTGAAGTCATCTTCGCTAAAGGTATGAAGACCCACGGAGAAGGTGAGGGATGCTGGTGGGGGTGTGTCATCAAAGGTGCTCATGTCATCGACATTAAACGTATGGAATCGACTAAATACCTCGACGACTCACTTCTTAAAAAACTCGCTGAAAAGGACAAGGACGACGAGAAGGAAAAAGAGAAGAAGAAGAACGGAGACGACGAAGACGAAGATGAGGAGGAAGACGAGTAATGTTATCTTTTAGTATAGTTCTTTTTTATTAATAAGGTATAGTTTATGTTTAATACTTATTGAATGGTTCATTTTTAATTGTTTCTAGTTCTTCGGTGTTATTGATTTCTATACTTATCTAATGTATAGTTTAAATATAATTTAAATAATTTATTAATATATTATTAATAATTTTTAACTCTTTTACTAATAATTTCAAATACATTTATCATAATTAATAGTAAATAGAATAATACAAAAAACAATATCAAGTTAATTTCAATAATCAATTAATAGTTTTTATTAATAAATTATTGACTAAAAAAAAATAAAAAAATAAAAATTCAATAAAAGTAAAAACTAAATAATATAGTACATAAACTATACTATTAACAGTAACAAACCTGAAAAAAACAAAGAAAAAAAAAGAAAGAATTTCACTTGAAAATAGTTAAATAAATTATAAAGTAATCAATCTTAAAACGAAAGGAAGGAAAATATAATTCATAAATGGGTATGTGGATTCCCGAAATTGTAGGCTATAGACCCCTATATTCAATCCCTTTCTGCATAGAAAAGAGAAAGAAACTCGATAATTAAGAAAACAATGAGTTTTGGACAATCACGAGCACTGATGCGTTTAAGCTCAGATCTTAAAGCTATGTTGACAGACCCCCCAGTAGTTTGTTATCAATCTCTCAAAAAACGTCCGTGATTGAAAATGGTGAAACGACAGAACTGATGAGCAGGGGATTTCCAGTGGACCCATAGACGAAACAAATCTCTACTTTTGGCAGGCAACCATAGCAGGCCCAGACAACTCGCCATGGGAGGGCGGGATCTTTGAGCTCAGACTGACTTTTTCAGATGAGTATCCCCTTAACCCTCCCCATGTTAAATTTGTCTCTGAAATTTTCCATCCCAACGGTTTGTTTTTAGTTTGGTTTAATCTTTTACTAATGGTATAACAAACTATTGACTGAGTTATTAAGTAAATTGATGGGTAACACATAGTGTTTAAAGATGGAAGGATCTGTCTTGATATTTTACAAGACAAATGGTCGAGTGTTTATACTGTATCAACCATCTTACTTGCTATTCAAGTTTGTTTCTCTTCTCTATCTTATTGTAAACTAATTTTAAACTAATTTTAAACTAATGAAATAGAGTTTGTTGACTGATCCTAATGTGAACAGTCCTGCAAACCCAATAGCATCGAGTTTGTACACAACAAACAGAAAAGAGTACAACAAGATGGTCCGCGCATGCACTGCGCGATCGCTCGAAGCTTAACGAATGTACGTGCAAACTGAATTAAAAAGACTTTTGGTGTTTTTCAAATCGCACTAATAAATTACTTAAATCACTTGTCGAGCTCATACTTCGGGTTAAAGAGGTCATACCCACGCTTCTTGAACGTTCGGCTCCGCATTATTAACACGACAGCAAGCCCAATTAATATCAGAACTATCAATACAACAGTTAACACTACCATCACAACTATTGTAATCCACCCATTGTCGTCTTCAGAACTTGCTGGTTTCAAACTACTTGACGACAAACTATTTGAAGCACTTGAAATGAACTCACTTATCTCCCCAACTGCTTTATCAATCTCCATTTTATTATTTCAAGTTCATTCTTTCAATGGCTTGCTTCTCTTCCTTTTGTATGTATTTTTGTATTTTCTTATCCACAACACATGGTAAATCTTTAATACTTTATTTCATTTTATTTCATTGTGATTGTTTCCCTTTTTCGTTCCACTAAGTTATTGTGGCAAATGTTTTTATAAAATTCAGTGTAATTCTTTAATAACATTTTTACTATACGTTGTATTTCTATTTTACAAAAATAGAAACAAAAAGTACTATTTTTAACTACAATTAAATTATACGTACTCAAATTATAAATTGACTAATAAAAATACTATATTTGTAATCACAAACCCAATCATAAATACTCAACATAAATGCTGTATTATATTTTATAATACAAACAATTAAATGAGAAATTTTATTGTTTAATTACTTTCATACTTATAAATTATAAGTTATAATTTAAACAATTAAATTTTACTAACATCTCCAACAGCAATTAAAAATCAATCAAAATTCCTTGTGACCTTATTATAGAACTTGAAAGGTTCGGGGAGTTCTTGTAACACGTTGAGCCACGGTTGAGTGACGATGACCAAATCTCCGTTTTGACAGAAATCAGCCCCGACAATTAAACCCGCCTCTTTCTGAGTGAATTGGCCAATCTTTTTCAACCCATCACGTGATTTTTCTTTTGGTTTCAAATTGACATAAATAAAATCTTCTTGTCTAATCATCACAAAATTTGAGATTGACAAGTTGTCGAACGCGATCGCATTGACCTCAAATTTTTCACTTTTCTTCGTCACAATCTTTGGCACTTTCGTTTCGCCATCCAACACAGCAACAATCCCGTTCTCATCTATAAAAGTGATCTTCCCTTCTTTCATATAAATCTCAGAGAC